ATCCTGTCCTTCTGGCAAAAGATGTTTGATCAGTTATTTGATAGATAAAAGATGTTACACATAACTCATTGAATGAATTGCTATTAATATTTTAAACATTCTGCTAAAGTTTTAACAGATATAAACATACTTTTTGTCATCATGTATTGTAATTCATATAATTTGTACTCATTCTTTTTCCTTCTAAATCACAAGAACACATATTTCACTTCACTAATTGTCTTAGCTAATGAACTAAACAGATAGTTATACAGAATGCAGCTCATTAAAAGGTGGTGTTAATCTTTTTTAAAAAACAGAAAAACCAAATTCTTAAATTGTCTAGCTATTGTTCATGTTAAAATAGACAAATGATAACGTAACTTTTAATACTTAATAAAAATAAACCTATATTCGTATAATATGGTAAGAAATGTAAACTACATATTACACATACTTTAGCTATAGTGAAAACTTATTTATTTATTTGAATTCATTAGCTGCCCAACTCCAATGGTCACTATTTAATTTTAAACTAAAAAGAAAACTTAGAAAACAAACATACAGAGTTTGTATGCTGAATCTAAACTTTCATTCAGAAAAAAAGCTTCAATACTTTTGTTATGGCTACATCACAAGTAATTCTGCTACAGTCACAAGCCCACAAGTACTTTTTTCACTATTTTAAACTCATCACATAGGCAGCTCTATCAGTAACCAGATGGAGGATTAGTAAATTTTCCAATAGGAAAGTTGTATCTAAAAGTAATAAATAGAAACAGTTTATAGTAATGTCTTTGGCAACTGAAATTATTTGAATTAAGTTTTGTATTACCGTATTTTTCCATCTATAAGACGCACCCTTGTATAAGACGCCCCCCAATTACTGGTACTTCTCGGTACCATCACACAAGGGAGGCGACTTCCTCCAATCAGATGGCGCTCTGCGGGCTTAGTCCCACCCATCCCCTCGGCCATCAATCACTGTACTGAGGTGGCTTCAGCCCAAGCTGCACCAATGAAAAACGGGTCATAGAAGACGGTTTCAGTGGAACCAGCAGCATTCTTGGGGCAGTGCAATCCTCCTGCACCAGGTGGCATGGCAGCGGCATGTAAAGAACCCACACAGGCATGCCCTGGGCTACGGAGGTTACCATTATTTTTTTGTGTATAAGACGCTGCACTTCTATAAGATGCACCTGATTTTTGAACAGGGTGTTTGCAGGAAAAAATAGCGTCTTATACACAGAAAAATATGGCAATTTTTTCTATCCTACTTTAAAAAAAAAAGAAAAAAAAAGAAAAGATGATATAGGAGTGACTGAAAATTAATGGCCATCCATATGACAATGAATGACTTCTATGAAAATAGTTATTTGGTGGCTACATCTCTGTTCATCACCTAGATTTTATGCCATGAAAACATGAGTTAGTTTTCAAGGTGTCATAAGATTCTTGTCTTGCTAATGACAACATCATATAGTATTTTTTCCTAAATTATGTATTCATATATTTAATTCCCTACCATTTTTTTTACCTCCAACAACCTCCAATATGCATCTCATATTCAGCAAGAGGAAGAGGTAAAAATGTGTTTGGGCTGAACCATTTTAGAAATTGGCAGATTAATACTTTATAAAATTCATGTACAGTTCTCATAACAAAGAAGGTTCATATTTGCCTTTCTCCTCCATTTGCATTTTAATGGAGCATGCAATGTGCAATTGCCACCATCTGGAAAAGTATTGCAGTTTCATTCTGCAGAATATAAACAAGATTAATATCTATCTTTAATGGTTGATATTTGATATGCACCAGGAATGCCTGGGGAGTAGAACAAGGAAGTGAGCAGGCTGTTTCAAATTGAGATGGGAGCACACTGCTCAGATTTCTATTTCTGTCTCTGCATCAGAGAAGTAAAATACACTGGCACCTCCTTTTACTATTTCCAGCTTTTTTGTGTGGCCCAATTCCTTGTTGGTTGTAATATGGTTATTGCTTTCTCATAGGCTAATGAGATACAATTTCACCAAGCAGGGCTAATAGGATATGCATACCGTGCCTCTAGCCAGTGCATCCAGTTTACAGCAAGTATAGCAAACATGTTTTGCTTCTATTTTCTGTGAACCATATATAACTTAGGACAAGATATGGTTAATTTGATAGATTGTTGACAAATTGTTGTTCAATTACATGCTATTTGATTAACAATAGAAAACATTATCAGAAGTTCTGAAGTTGGAAAGAGCAACAAAGAATTATAGGTAAGAATGACGTTTTCTGGAGTTTTACAAAGCCCTAAGTCATGAGAAATAACTTCATTTGTGATTCCTGGTATATTTACTCTGGAACTGCAAATAACTAATATATGCTTATAATAAAGCAAGGGAACTGGGAATAGAGTAGTGATACATTATTATAGGACATAAAAGAATGAGAATCGTTTCCAGAAAGATCCTGGAAAAGATGATCAAAAAACAGATCAGCAAACAACTAGAGGCAAACAAAATTATAACTAGCAGCCAGCACAGGTTTGTTAAAAACAGATCATGCCAAGCCAATCTTATTTCATTCTTTGATAAAGTGACTAAATTAGTAGACCAGCAAAACGCTATGGACACAGTATACTTAGATTTCAGTAAGGCATTTGACAAAGTAGACCACAACCTGCTGCTCCATCACTAGATGGATCTGTAGCTGGCTGACAAACTGTACTCAGCGAGTAGTCCTCAATGGTACTACATCCACATGGAGAGTAGTAAGCAGTGGGGTACACAAGGCTCCATCTTAGGCCCAGTACTCTTTAATATCTTCATTAATGACTTAGATGAGGGAATAAAAGGGGAACTCATCAAATTTGCAGATGACACTAAACTGGCAGGAATAGCCAACACCCCAGAAGGCAAGCTCAGGATCCAAAAAGATCCTGACAAACTTTAACAATGGGCCCTATCCAACAAAATGAATTTTAATGTGGAGAAAAGCAAAATTTTACATTTAGGCAGGAAAAATCAAAGGTATAAGTACAGATTAGGCGAGACCTGGCTCAAAAACAGTAACTGTGAGAGGGACCTTGGAGTCCTAGTGGACAATCACTTGACTATGAGCCAGCAGTGTGCAGCAGCAGCCAAAAAAGCTAATACAATCCTGGGTTGTATAAACACAGGCATAGAATCAAGATCACACAAATATAAATTACAAGCTTTTGCAGACGATTTGGTCTTCATTTTGGAGGAGCCACTAGAAACAACTATTAAACTGCTGGAGAAAATAGAAAAG